ATATATGTATATGTACATATATATATGTACATATACATATATGTATACATATACATATATACATATATTTGTGCTACATGCATATGTATATACATGTACATATATAGAATGCCCTTGGTATTTAACGTTTTTGCTAAAACAAAAATATGTAAGGGGCACCAAACTTGAAGAAGCCGTAATTTTGTCAGAATATTTATCGTCTAACTGAGGAACCGTACAACTAAATGGAGTTTCGAACTGCACCTGCATTACGCCTTAGGAAACGTCAAAGACATTTGTAGCGAAATGGCAATTTTGGGTGCTTGATAAGCTGCGAAGCAGAAACTTTGTAAGGATGTTTTATATCCACGCATGGTCTAAACTCAGTCTGGAGGCCCCGCGAGTATGACAAATGTGATGAAGATAGCTGAACTGACATGGTAACGACGGTGGTATATCTCGGCTATCTACTGCAACTTGAAAACGTGCATAGAATGATGGCCAATGAATAATTTCACCTGAAAATTTCGGCAATACAATCTTCGGTAGTTTGATGCATTGTCTTTCGTTTGATTTAACTTCTTGAAAGCTGGGGCTAAATTAACTGACGCTAGGTGAAGACGTCAACAGAGCCAGCAGAAACAGAAAGCGACAGTGAAGAATTAATTTGTCAGACACAGTGATGGAGAGGATATGGACAAGGCGTGGTGGAGGGCCGAGGGACTGGCTAGGAGTGGAGGGCTGAGGGATTTGCTGCGGGTAGAGGGCGGCGAGACTGGCTATGGGCGGAGGACGGCGGGATAGGATGCTGGTGTAGGGCGGCAAAATAGGGTGTGCGCTGAGGGTGACGAGATCGAATGCCGATGAAAGGTGGTAGGACAGGGTGCGGGTGGAGGGCTGAGGAATTAGCTGCGGGTAAAGGGCCGAGGGATTAGCTACGGGTGGAAGGCGGCGAGACTGAGTGTCCAAGGAATTTAGATTTGGTAAATTTATATTTCGGGAGTAGCACATGGATGTGAAAATACAAATAGTACGAGAAATTTAATGATCGAAAAGGAATGTTCCCATCCACTAAGCCATACACATTCTTATCATTGTAACGGTCTGTGCTAGAATGTATTTATCCAAAGGCAAATAAGTTAATATTAAGAATATAAGTGAAACCTATATACTTTTTAAGGAAGGAAAGTGCAAAAAGAAATAGCAATAAAATCTGTGAGCGACTGAAAATACAAAAAAAATCAGGACATCAAAGAACCTACAAAGTATAAAATCTAGAGTCCAACCTTCAACATTATCCCGGTAATATATCCAAACAGAAAATCCATTTATCTAAATAGAAAAATTACCATCTCCGACTGCGTTGTCAGCTTTTTAAAATACTGCAATGCTAATTAATCTTCAAATCACCCCGAAAGAGCAGCCTCCCGTAGCCAGTTCGGTTCACTACGCTTACTTTTATATTCAATGCATAAGTATGGCCTGACCAACAATATAAATTTATATAAGCCCGAAACCTAATCGAGGCCACATACGCGATACATAATACAGAAATTGGGATCCAGCTGCGACGGACACGCGATCCTTCTTCTTCGATGATGGCCCTCAGCCGCGACGATTCCGGTGATTCTTCCAACTGCCGACAGCCACTGAACCCACCGCCCTATACACTCAATGCAAGACTTTGGCTGAGCCGTCGTCCTCCATTATATCTCCTCCCACCTCCAATCTCCGCGCCCAGACCCCCGCACACGTCCCCCC